CAGGTGTTTATACCTGTAAGGGAACACAGTCAACAGGCCAAATATACACACACACCAGTGAAGCTGTTACACTGACTGTATCAGGTGAGTGTGGCGTCTTTCTCACTTTATTCTATCATTAAAGCTGCATTAGAGCCCGACTGATAATTTGGTGATATTACCAGCTGATATGAGTTGCAAATAAATCGGCATTTATAACAGCTGGTAAATGGCAATTAAAAAACAAATGGAGAGGCGGAAGACAGATCCTTCAGCCATGTTATGAGTGTTGTTGTTGAGCAGTTTGTCCATCAGAGGATGCTCTGCAACTTCCCTGTTGGCAACACACGAGTTTGTAATGCCACAAATCACAACAATTAGCTGACCCAAGTTGAGCTGATTAACTTTACGCCCTGAAGTATTTTATCAGCATTCATGGTTCAAGTTGATATTTGTCACGTGAAATACTTAAATAATAATAAAATATCCCCATCACTTCTCCTCTTAGCCTAAATAAGCCTGGCATTGTTCATGTTTGCCATGCCTGTTCGTGAAAGCCGGTCCTGTCAGGTTGACATCATTATTAGTCTACGTTTAGCATTACAGTAGTTGAGTGGTGAGTAGTTCTGGCTAAGCTGTTGATTTATTAATGAAACAGTGAGGCAGTTCTAGCGAGTAAACACACAATGGTCCTATCTTTTCTCCCTGGCTCATCACTTCTAAAAATTCTCTGGCAACATCACTTACAGCAGCTTATAACACTGTTTATTACAGGAAAACAACTAACATTAATGACTGGATAAACTACAACGTTTAACTTATTCTGCCTAAATGATGAAGCTGAAGTCAGTTTTAAGTTAAAATTTTCCCGTTCCACCTTAAATGGTGCAGCAGTGACATTCTGGCTTCTGTTCTGCACCATTTAAGGTGGAACAGGGGAATTTTAACAAGAAGCTGGCGAATAGGAAACCAACTTCAGCCTCGCGTCTAAATGAAGAAAGTGTCAGTAAATGATGTTTTGGTGGTGTCTGTAGTTACAGTCGGTTCACTGGAAATGATTAATCCAGTGGGGACACGTAAATAAACGCAAGCTGATCAACTAATGTTAGTATATTACTGGTAGCCAAACAAAGTTATGTACATTAGTTTCTCTTTCAATTGTGTAGTGTGTGCTTTAATGGCACTATTTTTTTAGAGCACAGAGTGCATTGATATGCTGTGAGACGTTATGCATGTCTAAAAAAGGAGTTCCGGTATAGGTGTGAGTAAAATATCATGTTCAGAGGCTCCCGCATGTAATCCAGATAATCATTAAATCCTTTAAATGATAATACTACGCATATTTATTTGTGTTAATAACTCTGTTGGGGAGTGAAATCCCAAAGTTGCAAGTTTATTTTTAAACTGCATTGTGTTATCTTTGTGAGGACTCTTAAATAACTACACACAAATATCAGAGAAAATCTTTTTTATGTATTTCTGAAAAAAAAAAAGAATATCAGCTGATCAGATGCATCATTTAAATCCTCAAATACAGAAATGGGTGTCGGTCTCAAAAATCCTAAATCAGTTGGGCTGTAAGCTGCAATATGTATGATTTTTTGTAAAAACTAAAAGAATTAGCTGAAGATTAAACACACTGTAAAATATGCTGTGTGTGCGCTGCTGCAGGTCACCATGTAAACCTGAAATAATTTCAAATTTAGACAGGTCGGGTCTGATTTTGCAGTGTGTTTTTGGTCAATTTCAAATGTCTTTACATATTAACATCACACACACAGGTTCAAAAGAAGGTCTGGCTTTATGTTTAGGTCTCAAATGCAAAATCAACATTATACTGATGAAGATATGAAGACAATAGCAGATCATTCACGTAGATTCTCAGAAGACACGTCCTTCAGACAAAGCACAACAGTTGTTGCAAAATATTCTTCCACAAGCAATTACATGTTTCCGTCAGAGAGGAGCAAAGCTTTATCAGTTAAAATGTAGAGGTGCATTACTACAACGAAAAATTGTCCTACTGTATATACTTAAGAATAAGCAGAGTCAGCAAATTTCTCTTAGAAGTCTCAATGAGCTCATCTCTAAAACTGGCAACATCAGCTGATATTACCAGTTGGCCTTTTTTGTGAAAAATTTGTGAAAGTTTGTCCACAGCCAGAAAGTGGAAGATGCTGAAGAGCAGTAATGACAGACCTAAATAATATTGAGGAAATGTTTTTGAATGATGTTCAGAGAGAGTGTATAAGTTTTAAAAGTATTTATCATCTTTGAACAGAGAGACCAAAAGCTACAGTGAAAGTCCAGCCAGCTGATCATGTGTTCATCAGAGAGAGAGTCACTCTGACATGTGAAATAGAAAGTGGAGATGACTGGAATTATGAATGGTATAAGAATAATAATCTTCTCAGAGATGCTCAAAGGAAGAAATATGAAATCTCTAATGTTGATCAGTCTCATGCAGGTGTTTATACCTGTAAGGGAACACAGTCAACAGGCCGAATATACACACACACCAGTGAAGCTGTTACACTGACTGTATCAGGTGAGTGTGGCATCTTTCTCACTTTATTTCTATTATTGAAAGTGTTTAAAGTGTAGAGGTGTATTACAACCATAAAACATCATCCTGCATTACATATCAGATAATTTCTCTTTAAAAAATACAGAATCTCAGGAGTCTTAATGAGTTCATGTACAGTACTGTGCAAAATTCAGAGACCACCCTCCATGTATTTCTTTTCCAGTCAAAACAGCCATAAAGCAGACCTACAAGCAGTGTGCAAAATACCCCCTGGTATTCGGGGGTCCCATGTTGGCTAACTGCTAACTCATAGCAGCACTGATGCTAGCTTCAGTGGCAAAAAAAAATGTTTAGTTAAATTTCATTTAGTTAATTTTCCAATTTTCAAATATGCAATATTTTTCTGAGATTTATCAGGCATAGTTACAGTTGCTAGGCCATGAAGGACCAACTGGGTGAACCAGTTTGCCACAGTGCCACCCTGAGGCACAGCAGTGTTGCATCTATAGTTAGTTAAGAAGAACAAAGACAGAGACCCACCAATTTAAAATATAAAATGTTAACCACCTGAGTTAAAATCCTTGTTGACAGTGAGCTGCATCATCAGAAGTAAGATAAAAAAACGTTTCTATGCTTGCCACAGCAGTGTGCTATAGCTAGACCGACTGACAGTGTGTGTAAGAAATCTTTCTACTGTTTTGTCTCAAAAAATGTGCTCATAGTGGAGACATGCCAACACTGTGGTACTATGCTGCCATTATGGTGCTGTGTATGCCCTGTTTATCATGCTGTGACAAAAAAACAGTCTCAGTGAGTTCATGTAGCTCATCTCATAAACACTGGCAGCATCAGCTGATGACAGCTGTTGGCTTTTATGTGAAAAGTTTTGTTAGAGTTTGTCCACAGCCAGAAAGTGGAAGATCCAAAACAGCAGTAGTGAATGTTTTTAAATACTGTCTGGCATGTTGAGAGAGAGTGGGTAACAGTGAAAAACACTGTTTTGTGGTTTATAGCTAACTATTTAGGAACTTAGCAGGGACACATTTTCATATTTTATTTCTGACACGCTGTATTTATCGCCTAAATTGCCTCTAGGTGTGAGTGTGTGTGTGAATGTATATGTCTGCTTGTCTGCCCTGCGATGGACTGGCGACCTGTCCAGGGTGTTTTCTGCCTTCTGCCGATGACCACTGGGATAGGCTCCAGCTCCCCCCACGACCCAGGATAAGCGCTTAGAAAATGTGTGTGTGTGTGTGTGAGTGTATTTATCGGTATGTTATTATGAATGAATCAGGCTCATGACAGACCCGTGGGCCGCTACTGTGAGACCCCTGGTGTAGATAAAGGACTGTTTTATTCAGACTCCAGAACTACAACAACATTAATGTAGAGACACAGTTAGCTGACATGCTAACTAGCTAAGTAGGTACGGTGCTCTTTTACAATGTTTGTTTTACTGTATTGTAGAAGAACAAACACGTTAGTGCTTTATTAAACCTAAAGCTGCTGCTTATGTTCAGTCTGAGTGCATGTCAGCTAGTTAATGTAGCTCATGTGAACAAAACTAATGAGCACTGAAACTTTGTGTCTTAGATATAAATCAAAAAGATGTGTAATTAATGTAAAAGTAGAACATACTGTGGTCAGTCTCAGCTCTCAGGCCTTTCTCCTTCAGAAATAATGATTTTTTACAGTTCATTAGAAAATCGTTCAGCAGGAGCCTTTTTAAAACTCAGCTATTGAGCAATTACTGTTAAATTGATCAGTAGTTTGTGAGTAGTTATTCTAAAACACACTGTTACAAAGTAGTTTTTGAGGAGATATTTAAATCTCAGTAGTTATTCTTTAGTTAATAATGAACTATTCTAATCAGTAGTTCACTATTACCTACAGTGTAAATAACTAGTACTCCTTGGTAGTTAATAATAGTTACTTAAGTGTTATACAGTGCTATTTGTTCCCTGGTTACTTCTTGAATAGTTAGCTGTTAAATATTTTAAATTATTAAATTAAATTGAAATCTTAATTAAATGTAAAGTATTACAGAGTGTATAAGTCATAAAAGTTAAAAGATACATTTATTTATTTTGGGATATATGCTATATTAGGCACAATAGACTTCATTTCTTTATAACTGCCTTTGTGGTGGAAGCTAAAAGTGGCTGAAAAAAGCAACTCATTCTCTTTTATTTGACTTGATTGACTTTGGCTAATTTGACATTTGGAACATTTTTAACGCTAATACTTAATAATTACTTTTTAAAAATGGGTGAGTTTAATTAATATCAACTTAATTTGCTTTTCTAACATGTACAAGAGCAAGTTCTACATTATCTCTTTGGTGTAATAGAGAGAGCATGTTTCTGAATACTGTAATGTATGTTTCACACTGTATATGTTACAAACATATTTGTAATCTTTGAACAGAGAGACCAAAAGCTACAGTGAAAGTCCAGCCAGCTGATCATGTGTTCATCAGAGAGAAAGTCACTCTGACATGTGAAATAGAAAGTGGAGATGACTGGAATTATGAATGGTATAAGAATAATAATCTTCTCAGAGATGCTCAAAGGAAGAAATATGAAATCTCTAATGTTGATCAGTCTCATGCAGGTGTTTATACCTGTAAGGGAACACAGTCAACAGACCGAATATACACACACACCAGTGAAGCTGTTACACTGACTGTATCAGGTGAGTGTGGCGACTTTCTCACTTCATTTCTATTATTGAAGTGTTTAAAGTGTAGAGGTGTATTACAACCATAAAACATCATCCTGCATTACATATCAGAAAATTTCTCTTTAAATAATACAGAATCTCAGGAGTCTTAATGAGTTCATGTACAGTACTGTGCAAAAATCAGAGACCACCCTCCATGTATTTCTTTTCCAGTCAAAACAGCCATAAAGCAGACCTACAAGCAGTGTGCAAAATACCCCCTGGTATTCGGGGGTCCCATGTTGGCTAACTGCTAACTCATAGCAGCACTGATGCTAGCTTCAGTGGCAAAAAAAAATGTTTAGTTAAATTTCATTTAGTTAATTTTCCAATTTTCAAATATGCAATATTTTTCTGAGATTTATCAGGCATAGTTACAGTTGCTAGGCCATGAAGGACCAACTGGGTGAACCAGTTTGCCACAGTGCCACCCTGAGGCACAGCAGTGTTGCATCTATAGTTAGTTAAGAAGAACAAAGACAGAGACCCACCAATTTAAAATATAAAATGTTAACCACCTGAGTTAAAATCCTTGTTGACAGTGAGCTGCATCATCAGAAGTAAGATAAAAAAAACGTTTCTATGCTTGCCACAGCAGTGTGCTATAGCTAGACCGACTGACATGTGTGTAAGAAATCTTTCTACTGTTTTGTCTCAAAAAATGTGCTCATAGTGGAGACATGCCAACACTGTGGTTACTATGCTGCCATTATGGTGCTGTGTATGCCCTGTTTATCATGCTGTGACAAAAAAACAGTCTCAGTGAGTTCATGTAGCTCATCTCATAAACACTGGCAGCATCAGCTGATGACAGCTGTTGGCTTTTATGTGAAAGTTTTGTTAGAGTTTGTCCACAGCCAGAAAGTGGAAGATCCAAAACAGCAGTAGTGAATGTTTTTAAATACTGTCTGGCATGTTGAGAGAGAGTGGGTAACAGTGTAAAATACTGTTTTGTGGTTTATAGCTAACTATTTAGGAACTTAGCAGGGACACATTTTCATATTTTATTTCTGACACGCTGTATTTATCGCCTAAATTGCCTCTAGGTGTGAGTGTGTGTGTGAATGTATATGTCTGCTTGTCTGCCCTGCGATGGACTGGTGACCTGTCCAGGGTGTTTTCTGCCTTCTGCCCGATGACCACTGGGATAGGCTCCAGCTCCCCCCACGACCCAGGATAAGCGCTTTAGAAAATGTGTGTGTGTGTGTGTGTGTGTATTTATCGGTATGTTATTATGAATGAATCAGGCTCATGGCAGACCCGTGGGCCGCTACTGTGAGACCCCTGGTGTAGATAAAGGACTGTTTTATTCAGACTCCAGAACTACAACAACATTAATGTAGAGACACAGTTAGCTGACATGCTAACTAGCTAAGTAGGTACGGTGCTCTTTTACAATGTTTGTTTTACTGTATTGTAGAAGAACAAACACGTTAGTGCTTTATTAAACCTAAAGCTGCTGCTTATGTTCAGTTAGAGTGCATGTCAGCTAGTTAATGTAGCTCATGTGAACAAAACTAATGAGCACTGAAACTTTGTGTCTTAGATATAAATAAAAAAGATGTGTAATTAATATAAAAGTAGAACATACTGTGGTCAGTCTCAGCTCTCAGGCCTTTCTCCTTCAGAAATAATGATTTTTTACAGTGCATCAGAAAATCGTTCAGCAGGAGCCTTTTAAAACTCAGCTATTGAGCAATTACTGTTAAATTGATCAGTAGTTTGTGAGTAGTTATTCTAAAACACACTGTTACAAAGTAGTTTTTGAGGAGATATTTAAATCTCAGTAGTTATTCTTTAGTTAATAATGAACTATTCTAATCAGTAGTTCACTATTACCTACAGTGTAAATAACTAGTACTCCTTGGTAGTTAATAATAGTTACTTAAGTGTTATACAGTGCTATTTGTTCCCTGGTTACTTCTTGAATAGTTAGCTGTTAAATATTTTAAATTATTAAATTAAATTGAAATCTTAATTAAATGTAAAGTATTACAGAGTGTATAAGTCATAAAAGTTAAAAGATACATTTATTTATTTTGGGATATATGCTATATTAGGCACAATAGACTTCATTTCTTTATAACTGCCTTTGTGGTGGAAGCTAGAAGTGGCTGACAAAAGCAACTCATTCTCTTTTATTTGACTTGATTGACTTTGGCTAATTTGACATTTGGAACATTTTTTAACGCTAATACTTAATAATTACTTTTTAAAAATGGGTGAGTTTAATTAATATCAACTTAATTTGCTTTTCTAACATGTACAAGAGCAAGTTCTACATTATCTCTTTGGTGTAATAGAGAGAGCATGTTTCTGAATACTGTCATGTATGTTTGACACTGTATATGTTACAAACATATTTGTTATCTTTGAACAGAGAGACCAAAAGCTACAGTGAAAGTCCAGCCAGCTGATCATGTGTTCATCAGAGAGAGAGTCACTCTGACATGTGAAATAGAAAGTGGAGATTACTGGAATTATGAATGGTATAAGAATAATAATCTTCTCAGAGATGCTCAAAGGAAGAAATATGAAACCTCTAATGTTGATGAGTCTCATGCAGGTGTTTATACCTGTAAGGGAACACAGTCAACAGGCCAAATATACACACACACCAGTGAAGCTGTTACACTGACTGTATCAGGTGAGTGTGGCATCTTTCTCACTTTATTTCTATCATTAAAGCTGCATTAGAGCCCGACTGATTTGGCGATATTATCAGCTGATATGAGTTGCAGATAAATCAGCATTGCCAGTAAATGGCAATTAAAAAAGAAATGGAGAGGCAGAAGACAAATCCTTCAGCCATGTTATGAGTGTTGTTGTTGAGCAGTTTGTCCATCAGAGGGCGCTCTGCAACTTCCCTGTTGGCAACACACGAGTTTGTAATGCCACAAATCACAACAATTAGCTGACCCAAGTTGAGCTGATTAACTTCATGCCCTGAAGTATTTTATCAGCATTCATAGTTCAAGTTGATATTTTTCACATGAATACTTAAATAATAATAAAATATCCCCATCACTTCTCCTCTTAGCCTAAATAAGCCTGGCATTGTTCATGTCTGCCATGCCTGTTTGTGAAAGCTGGTCCTGTCAGGTTAACATCACAATTAGTCTACGTGTAACATTACAGTAGTTGAGTGGTGAGTAGTTCAGGCTGAGCTGTTGATTTATTTATGAAACAGTGAGGCAGTTCTAGCGAGTAAACAAACAGGTGCCTTCTTTTCTCCCTGACTCATCACTTCTAAAAATTCTCTGGTAACATCACTTACAGCAGCTTATAACACTGTTTATCACTGGAAAACAACTAACATTAATGACTGGATAAACTACAGTGTTTAACTTATTCTGCCTAAATGATGAAGCTGAAATCAGTTTCAAGTTCGAATTTTCCCGTTCCACCTTAAATGGTGTAGCAGTGACATTTTGGCTTCTGTCTGCCATTTAAGTTCTGCACCATTTAAGGTGGAACAGGAAAATTTAACAAGAAGCTGGCGAATAGGAAACCAACTTTAGCCTCGCGTCTAAATGAAGGAAATATCAGTAAATGATGTGTTGGTGGTGTTTGTAGTTACAGTGGGTTCACTGGAAATTATTACACCAGTGGGGACACGTAAATAAATTCAAGCTGATCAACTAATGTTAGTATATAACTGGTAGCCAAACAAACTTATGTACATTAGTTTCTCTTTCAATTGTGTAGTGTGTGCTTTAGTGGTACTCTTTGTTTAGAGCACAGAGTGCACTGATATGTGGTGAGACTTTATGCACTATACTACGCATATTTATTTGTGTTAATAACACAAAAACTCTGTTGGGGAGTGAAATCCCAAAGTTGCAAGTTTATTTTTAAACTGCATTGTGTTATCTTTGTGAGGACTCTTAAATAACTACACATAAATGTTAGAGAAAATCTTTGTTAGGTATTTCTGAGAAAAAAATTAAAATATCAGCTGATCAGATGCATCATTTAAATCCTCAAATACAGAAATGGGCGTCGGTCTCAAAAATCCTAAATCAGTCGTGCTGTAAGCTGCACTACATACGTTTTTTTTGTAGAAACTAAAAGAATTAGCTGAAGATTAAACACACTGTAAAATATGCTGTGCGTGCGCTGCTGCAGGTCACCCTGCAAAGCCTGAAATAATTTCAAAGTTAGATAGGTTGGGTCGGATTTTTCACTGGGTTTTTGGTCAATTTCAAATGTCTTTACATATTAACTTTACACACACACAGGCTCAAAAGAAGGTCTGGCTTGATGTTTAGGTCTCAAATGCAAAATCAACATTATACTGATGAAGATATGATGACAATAATAGATAATTTGCTTACATTCTCAGAAGACACGTCCTTCAGAAGCACAACAGTTGTTGCAAAATATTCTTCCACAAGCAATTACATGTTTCCGTCAGAGAGGAGCAAAGCTTTATCAGTTAAAATGCAGAGGTGCATTACTACTATGAAAAATAGTCCTACTGTATATACTTAAGAATAAGCAGAGTCAGCAAATTTCTCTTAGAAGTCTCAATGAGTTCATGTAGCTCATCTCTAACACTGCCAACATCAGCTGATGATAATATCTAGTTGGGCTTTGATTGAAACATTTGTGAAAGTTTGTCCACAGCCAGAAAGTGGAAGATGCTGAAGAGCAGTAATGACAGACCTAAATAATATTGAGGAAATGTTTTTGAATGATGTTCAGAGAGAGTGTATAAGTTTTAAAAGTATTTATCATCTTTGAACAGAGAGACCAAAAGCTACAGTGAAAGTCCAGCCAGCTGATCATGTGTTCATCAGAGAGAGAGTCACTCTGACATGTGAAATAGAAAGTGGAGATTACTGGAATTATGAATGGTATAAGAATAATAATCTTCTCAGAGATGCTCAAAGGAAGAAATATGAAACCTCTAATGTTGATGAGTCTCATGCAGGTGTTTATACCTGTAAGGGAACACAGTCAACAGGCCGAATATACACACACACCAGTGAAGCTGTTACACTGACTGTATCAGGTGAGTGTGGCATCTTTCTCACTTTATTTCTATTATTGAAGTGTTTAAAGTGTAGAGGTGTATTACAACCATAAAACATCATCCTGCATTACATATCAGATAATTTCTCTTTAAAAAATACAGAATCTCAGGAGTCTTAATGAGTTCATGTACAGTACTGTGCAAAATTCAGAGACCACCCTCCATGTATTTCTTTTCCAGTCAAAACAGCCATAAAGCAGACCTACAAGCAGTGTGCAAAATACCCCCTGGTATTCGGGGGTCCCATGTTGGCTAACTGCTAACTCATAGCAGCACTGATGCTAGCTTCAGTGGCAAAAAAAAATGTTTAGTTAAATTTCATTTAGTTAATTTTCCAATTTTCAAATATGCAATATTTTTCTGAGATTTATCAGGCATAGTTACAGTTGCTAGGCCATGAAGGACCAACTGGGTGAACCAGTTTGCCACAGTGCCACCCTGAGGCACAGCAGTGTTGCATCTATAGTTAGTTAAGAAGAACAAAGACAGAGACCCACCAATTTAAAATATAAAATGTTAACCACCTGAGTTAAAATCCTTGTTGGCAGTGAGCTGCATCATCAGAAGTAAGATAAAAAAACATTTCTATGCTTGCCACAGCAGTGTGCTATAGCTAGACTGACTGACGTGTGTGTAAGAAATCTTTCTACTGTTTTGTCTCAAAAAATGTGCTCATAGTGGAGACATGCCAACACTGTGGTGACTATGCTGCCATTATGGTGCTGCATAGTCTGTGTTTAGCATGCTGTGACATAAAAAAAATCACTGACCACCCAAAAAATGTAGGCAGGCAGAGGTTCACCAAACATTTGTGCCCAAGGCCCCCTGATGATGAATTTGATGATCTGGGCCAGGCTGCAAGGAATACATACAATTTTTACACGACTCTCCTTCAAATACATATGCATGAGAAAGAGAAACGTGTGCTGTGTTTTCCATGAGCACACCACAAAAACTCTGTATTTAGGCTTGTGTGCCAGTTTCATACACAGCATCCATATTGAGTCTCACACAAAAGAGTCTCAGTGAGTTCATGTAGCTCGTCTCATAAACACTGGCAGCATCAGCTGATGACAGCTGTTGGCTTTTATGTAAAAAGTTTGTTAGAGTTTGTCCACAGCCAGAAAGTGGAAGATCCAACACAGCAGTAATGAATGTTTTTAAATACTGTCTGGCACATTCAGAGAGAGTGGGTAACAGTGAAAAACACTGTTTTGTAGTGAATAGCTAACTATTCAGGAACTAAGCAGGGACACATTATTATATTTTATTTCTGACACTCTGTATTTATCGCCTAAATTGCCTCTAGGTGTGAGTGTGTGTGTGAATGTATATGTCTGCTTGTCTGCCCTGCGATGGACTGGCGACCTGTCCAGGGTGTTTCCTGCCTTCCGCCTGATGACCGCAGGGATAGGCTCCAGCTCTCCCCACAACCCAGAAGGATAAGCGGCTTAGAAAATGTGTGTGTATGTGTGTGTGTGTATTTATCGGTATGTTATTATGAATGAATCAGGCTCATGACAGACCCATGGGCCGCTACTGTGAGACCCCTGGTGTAGATAAAGGACTGTTTTATTCAGACTCCAGAACTACAACAACATTAATATAGAGACACAGTTAGCTGACATGCTAACTAGCTAAGTAGGTACGGTGCTCTTTTACAATGTTCATTTTACTGTATTGTAGAAGAACAAACACGTTAGTGCTTTATTAAACCTAAAGCTGCTGCTTATGTTCAGTCTGAGTGCATGTCAGCTAGTTAATGTAGCTCATGTGAACAAAACTAATGAGCACTGAAACTTTGTGTCTTAGATATAAATCAGAAAGATGTGTAATTAATGTAAAAGTAGAACATACTGTGGTCAGTCTCAGCTCTCAGGCCTTTCTCCTTCAGAAATAATGATTTTTTACAGTGCATCAGAAAATCGTTCAGCAGGAGCTTTTTAAAACTCAGCTATTGAGCAATTACTGTTAAATTGATCAGTAGTTTGTGAGTAGTTATTCTAAAACACACTGTTACAAAGTAGTTTTTGAGGAGATATTTAAATCTCAGTAGTTATTCTTTAGTTAATAATGAACTATTCTAATCAGTAGTTCACTATTACCTACAGTGTAAATAACTAGTACTCCTTGGTAGTTAATAATAGTTACTTAAGTGTTATACAGTGCTATTTGTTCCCTGCTTACTTCTTGAACAGTTTTGAACAGCTATTAAATACATTAAGTTATTAAATTAAATTGAATTCTTAATTAAATTTAAAGTGTTACAGAGTGTATAAGTCATAAAAGTTAAAAGATATATTTATTTTGTTTGAACAGAGAGACCAAGACCTACAGTGAAAGTCCAGCCAGCTGATCATGTGTTCATCAGAGAGAGAGTCACTCTGACATGTGAAATAGAAAGTGGAGATGACTGGAATTATGAATGGTATAAGAATAATAATCTTCTCAGAGATGCTCAAAGGAAGAAATATGAAATCTCTAATGTTGATCAGTCTCATGCAGGTGTTTATACCTGTAAGGGAACACAGTCAACAGGCCGAATATACACACACACCAGTGAAGCTGTAACACTGACTGTATCGGGTGAGTGTGGCATCTTTCTCACTTTATTTCTATCATTAAAGCTGCACAGTGTAAAGTTTTTATTGAAGTAGCAGAAAAAAGCAGTAAAATATGGTGTTTGTGTGCTGCTGTGAGTCACCCCCTGAAACTATTTCTAAGTCTGAGGGGTCAGGTAGGATTTTGCCTTTTTTTTTGGCCCTGTCAAACAACTTTCCTTATTAATGTCTTATGGTTCAAAAAAGGTCCAGTTTGATGTTTACGTCTCAAATGCAAAAGTAACAGCATACTGATGAAGACATGATGACAATAACAGATCAATCATTTACATCCTTGGAAGAAACGTCCTTCACCAGGTTTTGACAAGATTTTTTTTCAATGAGAATACAGTCATCAAATTCCTCCACTCAGAGGAGCTAAAGCACAACTGAAGTTACAAAATATTCTTCCACCAATTTTGTGCAATTATACGTTTCAACCAGAGAGGTCTCCAAATCCCCAAAGCTTTTATAGTGTAGCTTTAACAGTTAAACATGCAGAGGTGCATTACTGCTATGCAAATATCCTCCAACTGTGTAAAATTAAGAAGTAACAGAGGGAAATCAGCAATTTTCTCATTAAAATTTATCCAATATCTTATCTGTAAACTTATAGAGAGTGAATGTTTTTGAATACTGTCATGCATGTTCAGAGAGAGTGTATAAGTTTTGAAAGTATTTATCTTCATTGAATAGAGAGACCAAAAGCTACAGTGAAAGTCCAGCCAGCTGATCATGTGTTCATCAGAGAGAGAGTCACTCTGACATGTGAAATAGAAAGTGGAGATGACTGGAATTATGAATGGTATAAGAATAATAATCTTCTCCGAGATGCTCAAAGGAAGGAATATGAAATCTCTAATGTTGATCAGTCTCATGCAGGTGTTTATACCTGTAAGGGAACACAGTCAACAGGCCGAATATACACACACACCAGTGAAGCTGTTACACTGACTGTATCAGGTGAGTGTGGTGACTTTCTCACTTTATGTCTATCATCAAGGGTGTAAAGTTTAGAGCTGCACTACTACTGTAAAAAGATCATCCTGTACTAAACATATCAGCAAATCTCTCTTTATAAATACACCACGTCTGAACCCTCAATGAGTTCATGTATAGTACTGTGCAAGAGTCAGAGATCACCCTTCATTATTTCATTTCATGTGAAAACAGATTTCAAGTAGGCCTACAAGTTATTAATGTTTCTGCATCTCCAAATTACCAAAGTTCAGTCTTGTGTCCACATGTACAAACAAGTATTTTTTCCTCTGCTTGTCCATAAAATCTCGTCCACACCATCATGAGAATTCTAGAATGACTCGCCAATACTCATATGATCATGACAGCCCAGTAGAGGCTGATAACACCTCATAAGATCTAATGTTCTGTACTTCAAGAAGAACATTGTAAAAATCTGCACTGTGCAAAATATAGACCACACCACGAAGCTAAAGCAGAGATTTTCTAACAAAGTGACAATCATGTTACAAACACATTGAAATACATTTAAAAATATAATTATTATAATAATACACTGTAAAATATGTGTCGTCAGATAAACCTAAAAAAATTCTTCATATAGTAACAAGTAAATTAACTAGTATCATTTAACCTAAAGAAATACTTTAAATGAAAGTTTTTTTTGAATCAGTGTAATTTTTTGACTTGAATAAAAGTGATTCAATCGCTTGTTACTGCAAGTCATTTTTTTAGGTTGATCTGATGAGCTATTTTTACAGTATAATAATAATAATAATAATAATAATAATAATAATAATGATAATCATCATCAAACTCATCACCATAATGATGAACTGACTGACATTCAGTTTTACAAATGAAACACTTCATGCTTGGACCTGTAGATGCTTCACTGAATGAACCCACCGTGTCAGTTTGTCAGCATTAAATATCTTCATTTAAAGTTAAATATTTTCACTTGTGTTGTTTTGGTACCCAGTTAAAATGTCATCTTAGCCCAGTTTAATATTAGCAATAAAAAACAATTAAACTAAAAAGTATTTAAGAAGCAGTTTAGAAGCTGAAATGCAAAAAAATAAATCAGTATTAATAATTATCTAATTATTTGGAGTACAGCTGTGAAATTTGACAAAAAAGTGTTTTTCTTGGCATGAGCTGCCCTCAGTGAGCTGACATGGCTGAACCCTCAGGCTTCATGTCATATTTAATTCCTAGAAGTCCATGTCAGGGATACAATATCCAGGACTGGGATCTGGGTTCATGATCTGGATTTGAAGGTCTCTGGTCTAGACTGTATCTGCTCTTACAAAGACATCTGTTTAGACTGTGAGGCAAATTTACACCTGCTTTTAAAAGGTGGAGAAAAGTCCACTCAAACCTGGCCACTGTGAGCTGCTCAAACTTTAGTAAATATATCTGAGATCTTCACCCTCAAATGCATTTGCATGATGGAGAGACGCACATCCTGTGTTTTTACATACGGGCAGCCCAGAAAGTGTTTGTTTGATCTCGTTCACCAATTTAGTGCTGACATGCGTAAATTGCATCCAAATTACTTCTGAATTCAGTGTAAAAGGCTCAGAATATTCAGCCCACAGTATCTTAGAACTCATGTAGCTCATGTAGCTCATCTCATTAACACTGACAACATCAGCTGATGGAAACAGTTGGGTTTTGTTTGAAATGTTTGTTGGAGTTGTCCACAGCCAGAAAGTGGAAGATGCAGAAGAGCAATAATGATCAACTGAAAAACACACCTACAATAAAATTCTCTCTGTAAACAAATAGAAAGTGAATGTTGTGGAAGACTGTCATGCATATTCAGAGAGAGTGAATAAGCTTTAAAAGTGTTTATCATCTTTGAACAGAGAGAACAAAAGCTACAGTGAAAGTCCAGCCAGCTGATCATGTGTTCATCAGAGAGAGAGTCACTCTGACATGTGAAATAGAAAGTGGAGATTCCTGGAATTATGAATGGTATAAGAATAATAATCTTCTCAGAGATGCTCAAAGGAAGAAATATGAAATCTCTAATGTTGATCAGTCTCATGCAGGTGTTTATACCTGTAAGGGAACACAGTCAACAGGCCGAATATACACACACACCAGTGAAGCTGTTACACTGACTGTATCAGGTGAGTGTGGCGTCTTTCTCACTATATTTCTATCACTGAGTTTAAGGTGCATTACTACTATAAAACATCAACCTGTACTAAACATATCAGCAAACTTCTCTTCAAATACTCAGTATCTCTGAAGCCTCAATGCGTTCTTGTACAGCACTTGTAGACCACCCTTCATTGTCTCATTTCCAGTTTACAGCAATAAAGTAGAACTACAAGTTAGTCATTTTTCTGCATTAAGAGCCAAAAAAATTAAACATAGAAAAGTACACTAAAACCTCAACAACTTAACATTATGTCAAAATGTTTTTTATTTTTTTTATTTAGTGCTCACGCACGCTTTGCCTTTACCACAGCTTCCATTCTTTTCAAGAGTTCTCTAAAGTTCTGTCTTAGGCCTCATCAACACATATCAGGATATTTTGGAATTCAAAAATAATCCTCCTCCACACCAACAGCGTTTTAAAAAATCTATCAGTACATGAGAACACAAGAATGACTCAAAAACTCTCCCATGAGCATGTCAGCCCAGTACAGGGTGATTACACTTCATTACGGTCCTGTAACTGAAGAAGATCACTGTAAACATGCACACTGTGCAAAATAGAGCACAATGTGATTTTTTAACAAAGCAACAGCAACATGTTACAAACACAGCAGACACGTCAGACCTCTGTCAGTTTCAATTTTACAGATTCAAAATGCAATGATTATGCTACTGTCTCTGAAATGTCCACACATTCCTGAGTTTTCTAGCTTTTCACTTGACAATTATAGATCATTCTGAAAATCATGTATAAGAGATCTTCTCATGGTCTGCACTAATTAACCAATTGCAAAAGTCTCATCTTCCTTTGTTATTGTTTCTACATCTATCAAACTTTCAGCTCAGGCTGCCTTGTAACAGACTAAAAGGTTCAGTAGTACAAAGTAAAATTTAGAATCACACTAAGAGAAGCTCTGAATACATTTAGGAGCTGCCCTTTCAGATGAGCTAAAGCTAACAGTAAAGCTAGTCAGAGTACTGTTAGATATTAAAGAGAACTCAGCTCTTTCAGCAAACTTTAATAAAACAGTACAAAGAATGGCCTGTTTGAGTGCATTAATATTTATCTTTCTTCATCAACAGTAAAAGTCAGACCTACAATCACCTCAAACCATGAAGGAGCTGTACTGACAGGAAACACAGTGACTCTGTACTGTAAACTCCCTCAGTCTGCTGGATGGACGTTTTACTGGTCCAAACACACACAGAACTCTGAGAAGGAGACCATCACCAACGTCTACACCATCAGCTCAGTTAGTCTCTCTGATGGAGGTCAGTACTGGTGCAGAGCTGGCAGAGGAAACCCAGTCTACTACACACACTACAGTGCTGCACTCTGGGTAAACGTTACTGGTGAGTAAGAGAAAGAGTGATATTTCACGGTACAGTGCTGAATGTTAACAGCATACATAGGAACAAACAATTTATTTTATGATTACATGCACTTAAAGGCATCATAAATCTGAGGGTCCTTTTAAGTACTGGGGAGAGCCGAACACAACCTAACACATTTTGTTTTTTGTGAAATAATTTTCAAGATATTTAAGTTTAATAATCTTGTTTTTATGCAAGCAACATATACACCTCTGCTACAAATGAACACTTTGTTTCTAACTCCTACCATTCATGTAAAATTCCACCCAAAAAGACAGGAAGTGCAATATTACAATTTCCCCCTTGGGAGAGGTTAATTGTGACAGATGGCTTGTTGTAATACTGTCTAAAAAGTCTGATGGATCAGTACAAACAAAGTTAATTCAATATTATTAAGTTGTAAGAAACAAATATATTTTCCAACCATAAAGGATTATATATTATTTTTATATAAGACAAATATATTTCTATAAGCTCACTTCATAGATACACACACACACACACACACACATCAAATTATATATGAAACCTGACATGAGACTCTGTGTCCTCACTCTGGCCCAGCCTCTGCCTGGCAGATGGCACTTGACCACGCCCCCCCTGCCACATACCTATTTAAAACTACAATGCTAACATCTGAAAGATACTAATAAAGTAAAACAAAATCTGAAAACAGAGAAGTTTTCTCTTTTTCATTTTAAAATATGTGTAATAATGTGGAACAATGAGACAAAATTTACTTCATTTTTCTTTATTTACCAACAGCGGCTTAGCTGTAACACAGATCAAGCAAAGGTACTGAAGTCAAGCAATGCTGTGTCCTCTCTTTTAGTCAAACTGGAAGATCCTAAACACATTATTCAAACACACAGATAATAGATCAGTGCAGTTTCATGGTGACAAATATTTTATTTTCTCACTTAATTCTATTAAATTCAGTATGAATTTTAATTGAAAGCTTAAAGAACTCTCCCTCACTTTCTTCTTGATCACTTACCTCTATCAAATCTGCTGCTTCAGTCCTTTCAGTCTCCTTCAGCTTCTTTCTCTCCATCTCCTCACCTGTGTTTAGTAATATGTCATTTTGGATTAATTTAAATTTACAGGAACTCAAGGAAATAATAAGAGATCAAAGAATGTGTGTTTTTTTTTTTTTTAATTGGTAAAGCTCTTCTTATCTGACTGGCTTTCAATGGCGATGCCACCTTTTAATTTGCATCAACTGTTTGAGGATTTGAGGATGTAAATTTGCATAATGATCAACACTATATGACATTTTCACTGACGATAACTTACTGTAAACAACAATATATGGCAAATACTGATATCACTGTTTGCAAATACTGAAGAGAAATAAAAAACAATGAATCAAAAGAGCTGAGAATAACATTATTTCTATCTCTGTCACTCGTCCCTTTCACACTCTCACTATGAAGTATCTTCAAATAGTTTACTTGTCAGCTTGCTAGCTGACGTTAGTGTTAGCCTAGCCCCTTTTCTTTGCATCACGTAAACCCAGTTAACTAGCTAACAAATAACAGACAGCCAGCTATACTGACCATAATTTACCACAAATCCATACTGTAGGTGAGCATCTTCACTCTGTAACTCCTTTCACTCTGTATATTATTGATTTTGAATAAGGTCTAATGTTTAATGTGAGCTTTTAGGCAAAATCCTGTCTTCAGCTTCAGTGGTTGCTCACTGATGTTACTTAGCAGAGTGAACAGAACCAGAGACCCTCCCCTAGATCTGATATAATTGGCTTACAACTTACAAAGTCTGACATGATTGGCTTACAACTTACAATGTCTGATATAATTGGCTTTCAACCTAAGAGGTCTGATGTGATTGGCCAAGCGGGGATTCCATTTTTCACATTATGTCAGTAAATCTCTGGTAGTTCAGCATAGGCAGCACTGCATTAGAGCAGCAGCGCCTCCTCAGGTCACACCCTGCTATCACAGTATGGTGTGAATATGGAGGTGAGATGACACAGTTGTATAATGAAAAATGTGTAAGAGTAAACTATAGTTGATTCTGAACTAATAATGTACATACATTTGAAAAGGAGGGACAAAATAACTTTTGGGGGGGCTAAAGCTCAAATAAAACTGCCTACTGATGTTTTTGACCCTCAGAAAAATATTTGATTGGTAAGAAATCACTTGTACAGCAAGAAAACAACTCCAAACACCCTGGTGAGAAAATGAACAGTTGCTTATCAAACAAAAATGCTGCTAGTGTTCTTACAAAAATTGACTGAACACCACAGACCTCAACATCACTGACTCTGTTTAGAATTATTTGGATTGTGAGGAGCAGAAAATTAAACTTTGTAAGTCTGGAAGTGTTTTCTTCTGTTAAAAAATTGTTTTCTTTTTTTCTTTTTGTTTTTTTTTGTTTTGTTTTTTTTTGTTTTTTTCCTGATGCTGAAAAATGAATAACATATTAAATAAATGAAAGATGGTCTGCAGAGTACGGTGCAAGATGAATAATTTAATCTTAGATCTTCGGCTCTCATTTTAATAACAGTGTTGGGAACTGTGATTTTCTTACAGACAGTATTAAAGCTGTGATGTCCATAAAGCCTGATAAACAGGTGTTTAAAGAAGAGACGGTCACTCTGAGATGTGACACACAGGCAGGAGGAGACATTGAGTGGACTTACAGCTGGTATAAAGATGACCATTTGTCCCCAAACAGAAGAACACAGGAGTTCACAATCAGCTCTGTTACAGAGTCTAACGGTGGTAAATACACCTGCAGAGGAGAAAGAAACCATGACTCTCAGAGCTCAGAGATCAGTGATGCTGTTACACTGACTGTGTCTGGTGAGTCTGTGGATTTGTTTTAATATTCTCATTAATTATACTGTATGTAATGATCTTATCACTGTGTATAAACTTGATTTAGTCTATTATATTCTCCATGTTCTCTCTGTCAGATGTAGCTCAGGCAGTATTGAGTGTGTCTCCACAGAGCTGGCTGACTGAAGGAGACTCAGTGACTCTAAGCTGTGAGGTTACAGGCTCCTCTACAGGCTGGACATTCAGCTGGTACAGAGCTGTTCTCTACAGACAAGGCTTACAACAAATAAGAGACGTTCATGGCAATGTTCTGTATCATGTAGAGCTCCTGTCAGACAGCAGAAGAGAAGCTGGAGGCTCCTACACTCTCAGTCCTGCTGCTCTAAATCACACAGGAGTTTATGTGTGCAGAGAAGAGAGAGGAGAACCAGCCTATCAGACACAGTACAGCACTGCACAGACACTATGGATCACTGGTGAGGAAATACAGAGATTAATTAGTTTGTTTATATATATGTCATATTCATCAAAACCATTCTTTTAGTGAACAGTATGTTTGTTTAGCATTAGTATGATCAACATGCTACATGTGTATCTTGTGTGCATGTTCAGGTTCATCTCCTCCAGCCTCTCTGATCATCAGTCCCAGCAGAACTCAACACTTTAGTGCTGGCTCTCTCTCACTGAGCTGTGAGGGACAGAATGACTCTACTGGATGGAGAGTGAGACGATACACACACAGTGGGGAGGTGTCAGATTGTTCATCAGTTACAGGATCTACATGCAACATCAGCTCCCTCTACACATCCCTCACTGGAGTTTACTGGTGTCAGTCTGAATCTGGAGGAGGAAGTGATCCTCACAACATCACAGTGCACAGTCAGTCTCTGTTACTCTCTAACAGTGATGCTGAAACATAGATAGAAAAGCTGAAAATTAAATTATTCTGTTCATTTAGATTATATTCTAGTAAAAAAGATCTATGAAAAACTGCACCGTTTGCATAAAGGCTTATTTGCATGATTAAATACTTCTTCTCTAGATAGTTATTCATCTTCATCTGTTGTTTGCATTTTGGTGAATTATAGTTTAAACTGTATATATTTCTTTAAATGGAAATCTTTTTCTTATATAAGCTACTGAAAGTTTTGCTCACTGCTGAGTAATTTACCACAGCTAGACTTAAGATCAGAAATTTAGAAATGTATCAAAAGCACCCATTCAGAATTTCTGTGATATGATAGAGCCCAGATAGTAAAAACAAACAATCAAATAAATAAACAAACAAAAAAATTAAAGATCAAAAATCTAAATTTAAATAGAAAAGATTCATCATTAATATCTTAATCATTGTTACACAACAAAACTATTATAATGAGAACATGGATTCATTTCCAATCAACTAAACACAATGTTACTGGTAAATTTTAAACAGCTGTGATTCATAGACATCACTATCCAGGCAGGAAGTCTGTATTTATTCCCTCTTCACCACACTGTCTCTAATATTTACTAATGATTTATAAATACTGATGGAGCTCTCCGCGTTAAGATCATTACTGTATTCTCCACACTTTCTGTTTTCTCTCTCCTACAGATGGTGATGTGATTCTGGACAGTCCTGTCCATCCTGTGTCTGAGGGAGATTCTCTGACTCTCCGCTGTTTATTTCGCTCCACAAAGCCCTCAAACCTCACAGCTGATTTCTATAAAGATGGATCACTGCTCCAGACCCAGACTACAGGAGAGATGATCATCCGTACTGTCTCAAAGTCAGATGAAGGTCTCTACCACTGTAAACACTCAGAGAAAGGAGAGTCACCAAAGAGCTGGCTCTCAGTCAGAGGTCTGCGGTTTTCAACAGAAAATATCTAATCGTTATAATTTATATTTTAATAAGAATGCTCTCATCAGCCATTTCTATTCTGCATTACAGTGATTTTATTGTGTGTGTCTCAGGTTTGTCCAGTTCAGGAGCTCCAGTCTCAGTGCTCAGTCTGCTCAGTAGTTTAATGGCAGTGTCTCCATATTTGCTGGTGTCCATTGTGCTAGGGGTCAAATGTTACAGAGCTCAAGGTAAGAACTCAGTCTTTTTGTGTGTTTCCGCAAAGAGTCAGTAGTGTTTTTTACTACTGTATAAAATCTGATGAAAGACTAATATGAAATGTTGATCATTGTGTTTTTCACAGCTGAAGCTGATGAGGAGAACAGAACATAAGCAGTGATGGAAGCTGGAGCGTCTTGCTGAGTGAATATCAGGATTTTACATTATACGTATATATTTTAATGTGCTTTAACACCCAATTAGAGGTTGCTCAATCTGATACGTCATATCAGATCAGGCTTTAAATAACATCTCAACATCCAACTGTTCATTTATGCTGTGTGTCAGTAAGTGCAGAACAGTCTGACAGAACAGATCCACTTCTGAGAGGAAAAGGAGCCAAAATCCCCCTGAAGCAGCTCACTGAGCTGAGTGGATACATTACCTGTGTTGCACTGTATGTGACAGTGTTTATCTGTAGTGTCTCTGTCTAACTAATACATGAATAAATATTCAGTGGACAGCATGGAGAGCAATGCAGTTTCTTGCACTCTGAGTTGAGCTGATGATGCCTGGCATTAATCTATGGTATATTGAGCTGAACCAGCTATGAATTATTTCTTTATTTTTTAACACTTTTCTTTATATTAACAATAACTGTTTTATCTAAAGGCCTTTTGTGATGTCACTTATTATAAACCACAATCACTGTGGCTTAAAATGATGAAGGCTCTGAACAGAAATGAAAAGAGAATGAAATTCCAACGTAATGAACGAGTACTGGAGTATTCAGATTATTCAGGCCAGAACTATGATACATATTCATCTTATACACTTTATAGCTACATTTTTTGTCACTTTTTTAATGAATTGTTTCCTCATTATTCTTTGTTTCCTTGATATTCTTGCTTAAGAATCTTCACACATAAGGTCTTTTAAAACTGTACTGAATTTTTTTTATCAAAAATGTATGTATCACAAGCATAAACAAAGATATATTAAAAATTAAATGAATAATATTTGTACTTCATTGCAAAGCTGTTGTTGGCAGTTACATCATTAGCAGTTGTTGGCAATTATAGAACTGTGGTTATATTTCATCACATTCCTCTTGGCAAACCATCTTCAATTCCTCAAGGTTATGAGGGTCCCTCTGATGGACTCAAAATCTTTAAATTTGTTCAAGTCAGGAGACTGGACAGGCCATGCACACCTTTCTTTTCTTCTTCACTGGCTGTTTGGGGTCGTTGTGTTGTTAAAACGTCCATCTTCTCTTCAGATTTAGTTTCTTGGCTGATGAGATTATCTTCTCTAATATGTAGCTGTACATCGCCCCATCATGTTTCCTCTGATGAAGTGCCTCTATAATGATGTTCCCACCTCCATACTTCCCTGCAGGTGTGGTGTTCTTGGGATCATATATGCAACCCCTCTTTCTCTAAAAATGAAGAGCTAAATTATTATCAAAGAGCTCTATTATTGTTGTGTCTGACCAGAGTACATTGTTCAAAAGAGTCCTGATTTATCTTGTCCTTGTGTGCAAATTTTAGATGTGCATCTCTGTGCTTCTTTTTTAGCAGAGGAGTTTTGCACAGGGTGTAAGAACAGAGATGACTGCAGTGCAGTTTTTCACAATGTTTTTAGGATGACTTTAAAACCCCTCCTGAAAACCATTTTGAGTGACTGCCAGCTTCTTTCTTACTTTTCTTCTTACTTATTATTAGTCTGAGAGGTCATTGTGAAATTTCGTGTGGTGCACCTGTCCGGGGACCATTCTTCCATCATACAAGTCTTCAGCAGCTCAACTGGCTGATTATCGTATTTTGTGCTTCATAAGCGCCATAAGATTTCAGTAGGACAGGTCTGGATGGCAGGCAGGCCAGTCTAGCACCTGCATGCTCTGATTACACAGCCATAAACATGGACGTTCCTGATAAAAATGTTGCCTAATAGGCAGCAAAAGTTTCTCCAAAGTTCTTCACAGATGTGCAAGTTACCCTTGGGCACTAATACACTCCCATACAAACAAACCCTGGCTTTTGAACTTTACACTGAGCGAGCTGTGACAGGTGTTTTCACAGATCTGGGGAGCTTCTGGTAAGTTGTGTTCTATTACAGAGAGACAATTTATGCAAACAATTGCAGTTCTTTGAGAGGTGGTTTATGTTAATGTGGTAACAGAAAGATGAACTGCAGTGCTGGAAGCTTGAAGTCTCTAATTGGTGGCGAAGGTGTGAACACCTTCATTACAAACAAACAAAATCATGTGTAATTTGTCCACATTAGTGAGGAGTTTCAGATTCAGTTATTCTAATTTCATAGAATTTAAATAGACTCATATGGTTCATGATCTGCGCATGCACAGAGAACCACTTAGTGTAGACGTTACCATGACAATGAGCATGAGCGTTGTGTTCTGAGACACATAAGCTGGACGTCCGCCCCACCGCCGTCTTTTAAAGATCAGAGCTGGTCTCCTCCGCAGACCAGTTTCTGCTCCGCCATGTTGAACATTATAAACTTTCACTATGGAAAACATTCATGTAAAAATGAATTATGACTGTTTTTTGCTCAATGAAACTGCACAAAAGCTCTAAGTGGAGCTCAGAGAGCACAAACGCTCTAAGTGGAGCTCAAAATACAGACAAATGTAGACTCGCTAGTCTGGGTGAGATAGAGCGAGATCAGCTGATGCAAAGAACTGAAGTTAATTTAACGTTAATAAAACAATAAAAATGATGAGCTGAATCTTCATTTTATCTGTAAAAACATTCCCTTTTCACTGTTCTGTACAGTGAGGCCCAAAACCCCACTGAGAAGCTCACTGAGAATCTGAGATTTCTTCATGAAGCCTTCTGAATGAAGAAGAGATGTTAAAGGTTCTGCTCTGGTTCTAGATCACTATTTAAACTGGAGCAGATCTGAGACGCTGACCATGTTAAGCTCTTAGTACTAAAAGCTCAGGTTTGTTTTTAGTCTTGTCTCTTTCAGTGAAGCTCCTGTTCAGGTGGATGTGATCTGCTCAGCAGAGGCTTTTAGACAGACTTGTGGACTTCATGCAGCTTGAGTGCACACTGTCATTAAAGGGACAGGGACACCCCACCAAATACTGAGAAATTCATGTTAAAATTTCAAAGATTCTACTGTTGCTGATTTGTAATGAAAAAGGTACATTACATTAGTAAAGAGTGCCAAATAGAAGCCTTTTTTCTAGTGCTGTCAGACTTTTGGACCCCACTGGACTGATATTTAAATGTAGCTTCTTTTTGACTTTCATTAAAGTGTATATTTTGGCTCCACATTTCGTTTTAATCAGTAAAAGTTTGACACAAAATCTCCATCCAGAGATTTCATCTCCTCCTTCACTGAAGTAGAGCTTCTCCGTCCTTTTTCCTCCTCTGCTTAAAGTAAATTCAAACATTTACTGCAGTTTACTGCAGGAAACTCCACCCGTACTACAGATTACTGTAAAACAGCTCTACAGGAGCGTCACACAGAGGAGGATATAGATTATTACAGCAGGATTATACACAACTATAGAGTTTATAACAGTGTCACTCTAGATTTGTACTGTAAGGGTAATGAAAGAGTTACAGCACTTAATCTTAAAGCTGTCAATCAGCAGAAACTCTTTCTGACTCTTTCTGATTATGTGATAAATATTTGGGGGATCTGAGTAATTAAACAGCAGCTTCACTATAATTCACCTGTGAACATGAAGCAGATTTAATACAGCAATATTTTACCTGAAGTATACAGGGAACAATAAAAGTACATTTTTATTTCATGTATTTTACGGAAATTCACCCAAAATATAAAACATTTTTCATTGAAGTGTTGGAGTGTTGCGTATTTTTCACTGTATATTCCGACAGGCGTCATCCATCATAAAGGCTACTTTAGCTAACTTTGATGAAAATTGGCAAACGTAACCTTTATAGCGAATAACGCCTATTGGAATAAGTATAAACATTTATGTAGGGTTTATGTATGTCAGTTGTCATGACAAGCTTATGTAGGTGTCATATAGCCTTATGAACAGCACCTTACAGTAAAGTGTTACTGTATTTCCTAACATACTGTTATGAAACACGACACACTTAAAATTATTTTTAAATGCCATCAACCTACATGTGGATTTTTAGTATGTTTTCTAAAGAAATGACTTTTAAAGTTCGCTTAATTACATTTTGTAGCATTTTCATTGCAATATATTTCAAATTAAATGCCAATCATTTTGATATTGATACACCTAAGAGTTCATATTTAAAATATGTTTAATTTTTAATGTTTGTAATTTGTATTTTAATATATTTAGTGCATGTAAGTCCTAGTTTAGAACAGAAAAGCACTTGTAGGCAAAGAAGATGAATTTCAACATTAGTTAAACATAATTAAAGTGGGTATAAGTTGTATTTAGTCATTTCTAATATATTTTAAACTCACTTTATACATTAACTGTTTTTGAAAGTATACTTGAATACATATTTTATGTGTTTAATGTACTTAAGTATATTTATGTGATTTCAAATGTAGTGTAAGTTTGTGTAAGTTTATTTTGGTTGCAGTTTAATTCAGTAAGTAGGACTGACGTGTTTCAGTAAATCGAGCAGAATATTTAAAATATATTTCACATGTAATAACAGCTCATAAGATGTTCAAAAAAAGCACTACAAAACAAAACTAAATGCATTTAATATATTTAATTACAGCTAAATTCCAACTTAAACACATGCATTATCATAAGATGGACAAAAACAATACATTCAGTCTGAACTAAAGAATCTTTGAATTTTGTACTTTTCATATTAAATACACTTTTGAAAAGTTCACTTAAATGTATTTCTCTTCCTCAAGGGTCACTACAGTTTGTCCACTAGACTGTAGTCTGTCCCTTATTGGTCAGTGAGCATAATAGACTGTAGAATGTTGTTTGAAGTTGCTCTCTGATGTCATGATGGACTAAAGGCTACACGGTGTGAAGTCATAAAGGTGATGCAGATAAGTTCCGTCACACTGCCGTTTCACAACATTCTGTGTGGAGCCCCGAAGAGAACAGCTGCTAAAATGAGCTGCCTCTGGTTCTGGTGCTGCCGAGTCCATGAGGATGACGCAGACACAGAGCGTGAGAGAAAGGAGGAGCAGAATGAGAAGAGAAAGAGAGGAAAGAAGGAGAGGAGCAGGAGGAAATGGAAGATTCAGTGGAAGAAAAGAGAGGAAGACCAACATGGACAAAGAAGAAGAAGAAGAAAGCCAAAC